TGGCCATGACAGTTTAGTACTAGTTTTTAGTTTGCTGCTCTTTTCAGATAGAAAACATGTATATGTTGACTATTGACGGCTAAAGCCATTGCCAAAACATTGCTTCGCCTAATTAGTACACACCTCCATTGAGGAGAACCTTAAGTATGAAATGTGAAGAAAGCGACAAAAACGTTATTAGCTTTTTCTTTCTGTGTATCCGATTGTATCGGTGTAAGGTCTGTTCGCGAGTCCGTGTGAGTGTAGTGCAGTGGGGCTTTTGCAAGTGTGGGTTTATTGGGGGGCCACCATTATTGTATTGTGCAAGAGCATGGCTTGTAAGCTCTTTTTTGATTCGCCTGTGTGCGTGAGTGTCTGCATGGCCTCACAAAAAATAATAAACCAAAAAGCGAAGCTAAAGTTCAGCAGCAGCAGCAGATCTCAAACGAAAAAAAAAACTTCAGAAAGATAGTCTTGCTTTTTGTTACGCTCTGCTGCGTCCCCCATCTCCCCCTTTTGCTCCACCACTCCTTTTTGCATGGAGACGAAACGAAACGTTCACTTTCAATAAAACTTGAATGACTGGCTTGGCGGAGAGCAAGAGAATGGAAATGGGAATGTTGTATTTTTCATGGGAATGGGAAGCGAAAGCTGAACATGGATCTTTTTTTTTGCGCTGAAGTGAGCAAAAAGGGGCGTGAGAGGGGGGAACTGGTGTGCTCATTCTAACGCTGGATAAATTCCAAAACGGTATTGACAGAACGATTGTATATATATTATATGGATGTATGGTTAATTTATGCTTCCACGAATCAGGGCCATTCACTTTCTACAAGTATTTCATGGAGATTTCGCAATCGGTTGCGAACAAACCATGACTAAAGATCATTACGACATTTAAGACAATCAAAAGGTGAAAGTTCATGGTAATAATTCCTTAAATTGAGTCCGAGTCCATGAAGAAGGGATATATTTCTCTACATTTCTCCTCTCTTCGTGAGACACAACACACATACTAGTAAACTGGAAATGAGAATGAAAGGGACAAAGCAGACGAAGACGATCGAGAGAAGTGAGACAAAACAAAACGCGCTAACTCACAATGCGCGCATAAAATCACCTTTCACAAAAAGCTTTTCTCTCTATGCTTGTGTTACTGTATGTCTGTATGTCTAAAGAAAAGATCGGGGTATAAAGCTAAACAAATCAGACATACTGACATACAGACAGAGAACGCAATCGTTTGTATGTTTCTGTTTCCACACTTTCCGATTTTTGTCGTCGTCATCGTTCCCATGTAATGTAAATGTAAATGTAGTTTTACAATTACTCTTTCCCCTTTGCATATATCTGTGGGTTTGCATGTGTGCAGATTGCGTGAGTGTTTACGAATATAAAGCACATGTGTCTATTTCCAAGTGGAAGAGAACGGGAACGGGAACTGGAAATGGAACTGAAACTGAAACTGGACGGGTCCGATCCGATCCGATCGAAGGCCTCAAAAGAGAAAGCTACGGGGGTTTTGAAAGTATTATAAGCTCGTAAAAGGTAAAAAGTTAAAAAGGGAGCGGGCAACGTCAAACTTGTTTTCCTCCCTCTCTGTCGCTCTCCCGCACTCTCTACCTCTCTCTTTCTCGCCCGCTCTTTCCCCTTTCACGAAAGCTCTCTTGCCAAAGAAGCGAGGGAAAATGGCAAAGAGTCGCAAAGAGCCGCCGTCGTACTTGTTGTAAATGCTACACTCGTAAAAGTGACCCAAATTTGAATTACATAACTCCATAAGCTGGGCGATACGGAGAAAGATAGGAAAAAGGTTCGGTTGGGGCTTATAATGCGTTTCCATCTTAGATTTACGTTTTAGAATATCCCCAACTCAGGAAAATCTAAGCTTTCACATAGCCTTTCACATACACAGCCAGATATACATACATATTAGTGCTGTTTATGGACAGGGAAGTTGGGCAAGGGGGTTGAAGGGGGGTGTCGCTACCCTTTACCGCAGATAACTAAAATGTTGTTAAATAAATACGTATAACTGACTCCAATTAAAACCCTCTTGTTACAGAAACCCCTCTTAATGGAAGACCTACGCCATTGCCCCTGCTAACAGCATATTTTGTAACATCTGCGCGATCCCCCTGTAACTGTGTATGTGTCTGAGCGTTTGTATGTTGCGGTGTGCTTTTTTCACCTTCACTCTTATTGGAAAGCAGTTAAGTTAGTCGGTTACGTGCGTGTATGCGTGCGCTAATGTGTGTCTTCAAATTTCATGACATGCATACATACACACGGACAAGAGTATTACGCAGACAAAAGCACGCGATGAAGGTCACTAAGCCTTTCTTGTCTCCAGTTGTTGTTGTTTTAGTTGTACTGCTAATGATGTTCATGACGACGAAGATTGGATCGCCACGAACCGAAGCTTCGCCGCAAGTTTTGGATACGATACGATACGATCCAAACCGAGCTTGGAATGTTTTCAGTTTTCTGTTTTCTGTTTTCTCTACCACTATTAAGTTAGTTTCTGACCTTGGCTGCTTTGTGTGCTTAGGTGCACAAAGAGCCCCATACACGTTCAACAAAAAGACCCAAAACCCCAACTTTTTATCTGCATGTTTTCGTGTCTATGCGATGTTGCAATCCAAAATCTCGTCGAGCTGGGAAATCTCGGAAGTGGTAATGGAATGGAAATGGAAAGGGAAAAGCTCACTTACCTCTTTCATTAAGTTGGTTGTTCAGCAGTTAGTTACTCCCAGGACGAATTTAGTCATTCACTTTCTCACGTTCTGTTCTGATCGCTTATTCCCTGCGATCGGCTATGTGCGCACTGCTCACAGACAACTTTCGATTTCATTGATCATGTTTTGTTTGGGTATATCCTGTTGTTTCTATGTGTGTTTGTGCCAATTCTCGAAGGAGCTGATTTTAATAATTTCTCTTTGGCTTTTCCTGCTGCTGCTGCTTCTTCTTCTGCGACGCAACGCAAGAAATATCCACCAACACTGAGACACCGAAATCCACACAACACAATAGCAATGCACACGGACACACTCACAAAAGTTCACTACAACAGCACAACTACAACAGCAACATTAACTTTAACTAGGTTGAAGTTTTGTTTTTTTCTTTTTGTTTTATTGCGAAATAAAAAACTTGATTGGTAAAACTTTTTCTGGCGCGAGCGCGACTGCGAGTGTGAGTGGGAGATCCGATCTCTTGTGTTGCCTCTCTTTCGATTTTCGATTTCAGCTTCTGCCTGTGCCTTTGCTTTTGCTTTTCCACTTTCAGTTTGCGCGCGCGCACGTCCGTTCACTCGGACGGTTTTTTTTTCTCTGTGCGGTGCGGTGCCCACTGTGAGTCGACTGCGGTCTTTTCGCCTCGTCGCTGCTTGCTGCTCGCCTCTGCCGCCCGCCAACAAAAACAACTGCGAACTGTCTCTTTGAGCGAACTGCAAACTGCGAGTGGTGGAAAAGAGAGAGAGCGCGATCAGTTCTGCCGCGTCGGACTTTTCCCGCCAAAATATAAGCTTTCACCAAAAACTAACTCTAAAAAGATAGAAAAGTAAATTCTCTGAATAGTTTTTAATCTCGATGAATACTTAATGCTAGAACTAGAGAATTTATTCGTTTACAAGAACTAAATGATCACTGATAAGTGATGTTTTACTAATAGACCTAAGTTAATATTGTACTAGCCAGTAAGTAACAGTAAATAGTTGGCCATCTTAAAAGTAATCGGCTTGGAAGCTGTCAGTAGCGTCGTATTTATAGCCAAATAATTGAACCTCAAATTGCTATTCTTTTTTATTTTCTTCTTTATGTAATAAACAAAGTAGCTTACGATTATAACGCTCCTTTTTTTTGCTGATCATGATGGGATAATTTCTGAAACATTGCCAACTATCGTAAGATCAGTGATCATTTTTACTCTGCTGAACGCAAATTTCTTAATTTAAGTTCAATTTAAAATAATAATATGATAAATAAATACTCCAGATTAAAATAGTATATTTTTTAATTATAGTAATAATTAGGATATTGCTCAGTTAAACTAGTAAATTTATATTCAAATACATCTTGGTTTTAGAAAGTATAAAAAAAAAATTACAATAAAACAGGGCCACATGGCTTTGCTATTTCGGAAGATTTCACCTTGATCCCCAATAAGTTGCGACTCGTTCATTATTTCTCTTCCTTTGTAAGTCCTTAACGATCGCTGATTTGAAATGCACACGCCGCCTACGCCTATATTTGCATCTACCCTTTACTGTCCCATTATTGAGAACAATGAAATTCGTCCTTGAGCCTAATTTCTTCCGTTGGCAATGAATGCACAACTGAAACGAATTTGTATGCAAATCATTAGTAAGGAAAAAGTTTAAAATATCCTCAAAAAATTACATTTTGTTTTATTTGAAGTTCTAAACATATATCAACTATATTTCCAGCAGTACTGTGTATACAATCAACAGAAAAATCGAAATTTTGACGTAATCCTTTTTTGCCCATTTGCATACAGATCCTATCCCTGTTACATTGTATTTCAAGGACACGGCTAATGGTTTACGGGAAAGGGTGTGCGCACAATTCGTAGGTGACGAATGGGCGGGCAGTTGGACATCGTAAACAGCACATTTAATAGGATAATCGAGACGCAGCGATGGTCAAGGTCATTGGAGAAATCTATCCTTTTATTGGTCTTTCCAGACTTTAGCATATATTTCAATGGAGGTTAAAATGTTATTTGTGTATGTAAAATAACTTAAAGATTTAGAGCAAAGCATTTTTTAATTTCCATTGATACGAAGAATGACCCAACCAAAAAGACTAGAAATTAAAAACTAAACTAAAAACCTGTTTTTATTTTTAAAAAATTATAGACTTAAAAGTATGAAAGTCCCTAAGAATATGTACAAGAAACAATTAAAATTCATTAAAGGAAGGGTATTCAAACTTCGTTAGCTTTTATGTACTAAACTTTCGATAGCCGCACTTGGTGAATATCGATAAGAAAGCGCGATCCGGCGTCCATCTCTATCACCCAAACAGCTGCAGTCGCAACATCGAGAAACGAGAAAAGAAATCCGAAAAACTTTCGCAAAATGAGCCTGCAAAATGTGTGCCGCAAGGGCAATGCCTTCAACCTGTTGAACGTCTCTAGAAAAGGTGAGTTTCCAACTTTATATTAACATAAACCTGATCATAACTAAGTCGGTTGGACTTTGCCTCTGATAATTCATAACGTTTTGTGGCAGCAGCCGACGATTGAATCCGAAAGGGCCAAAGTCCAAACTCAAAACTGGCAGTGACGTCTTGTGGGTGAAAGATAATGAGACAGTACATCATGATTAAAAATAATATGAAATTTGAAATTGATATGGAATAATCCTTATTGTAACCCTTTTTATTACAGTTCAATGTCGCGCTTTGTCGGCCGCTGTGGCAAGTCCACAGCCCAAGCAGAAAAACACCCAGAACATAGTTTTGGTTGATGGAGTTCGCACACCTTTCCTGACCTCCGGAACCTCATATTCCAAGCTGATGCCCCACGAACTGGCCAGGCACTCGCTTTTGTAAGTTTTTACATCGTCAGCCCCTTGATATTGAACAGTTTTTTAACCCTACGTCAATAAACAGGTCGCTTTTGCAAAAGAATCGTCTGGACAAGGAGCTTATCGACTATATTGTGTATGGCAGCGTTATCCAGGAGGTCAAGACCTCGAATATTGCCAGGGAGGCTGCTCTGGCAGCTGGTTTCAGCAACAAGACTCCCGCCCACACTGTGACCATGGCATGCATCAGTTCCAATGCGGTAATAACAACCAAATGTGTTCCCGATACCATGATTCTTTAGACCAAATTTTGCAGGCCATCACCACGGGCATGGGTCTGATTGCCACCAATACCTACGATGTGATAGTGGCCGGCGGCGTGGAGTTCATGTCCGATGTGCCCATCCGTCACTCACGCAAGATGCGCTCTCTGCTCTTAAGGGCAAACAAGGCCAAGACTCTGGGCCAACGATTGTCCCTGCTCTCGACCTTCAGGCCAGACTTCTTGGCCCCCGAACTGCCCGCCGTGGCTGAGTTCTCTTCCGGCGAGACCATGGGCCACTCGGCCGACCGCCTGGCCTCCGCCTTTAACGTTTCCCGCAGCGAACAGGATGAGTACGCCCTGCGCTCCCACACGCTGGCCAAGGAGGCCCAGGAGAAGGGCTACTTCACCGATCTGGTGCCCTTCAAGGTGTCTGGCGTGGACCAGATAGTGGACAAGGACAACGGCATCCGCGTGTCCAGCCCCGAGAGCCTGGCCAAGCTGAGGCCCGCCTTTGTAAAGCCCTACGGCACTGTGACGGCGGCCAACGCCTCTTTCCTCACCGATGGCGCCTCCGCCTGCTTGGTCATGACCGAGGAGAAGGCCAAGCAGCTGGGCCTGAAGCCCAAGGCTTTTCTGCGCGACTTCCTGTACGTCTCGCAGGATCCCGTCAACCAGCTGCTGCTGGGACCTGCCTATGGAATCCCCAAGCTGCTCAAGAAGTCTGGTCTCACCCTGAAGGACATTGACTCCTGGGAGATTCACGAGGCCTTCGCCGGACAGATCGTGGCCAATTTGAAGGCCCTGGACTCCGACTGGTTCTGCAAGACGTACTTGGGTCTGAGCGAGAAGGTCGGCAGCCCCGATCTGTCCAAGTGGAACAACTGGGGCGGCTCCCTGTCCATTGGCCATCCGTTCGCCGCCACCGGCGTCCGCCTCTGCATGCACACGGCCAACCGCCTGGTCCGAGAGGACGGCAAACTGGGAGTGGTGGCCGCCTGTGCTGCCGGAGGGCAGGGCGTGGCCATGCTCATCGAGCGCTATCCGGGCGCCACAGCCGACTGAAGTCGCATTGAAATCGACCAGGATGGGAGTGCAGTGTGACTGCGAGATTGCCTAGCTTTTATAAACTTTACAACTATGTCTATATGAATAATGAAATCTGAATTTTACAAAACAGTTTAATTTCTAACAAAGCACCAGCCTTTCACGCAAGCATCATTATGTAGCTAAGTAATCCTATTCGGTCTCGTAGAGCTCCTTCTTCCGCAGCTTCGCCTGCAGGATGTCGTTCTCGTTGTAGGTGAGGTGCAGTGGGGGAATCAGAGCGCAGGCCACCATTCGGTTTTCGGCATTCAGGAAGTTAAATGTGGCGCAGGCCTGAAAAGACTCAATATTAATATGGATCTCCGAGAAAAGTCGAGTCGTACTTACCTGCTCTGTGCGAAGAACCTCAACATTGATCTTATACTTCTTCATGAATTCTATGATCCTTTTGGAAAGGGCTGGCGGCGGAGCTTGGTCGCCAATGCCGATAATTAGGACGTCAATTTTTGGTTCTAATGTAGGAAAGAGACTGAGACTTTCCTCGTTGATGTCCTCGAAGCTGTTCACGTTCCAGGACAAAACTGATCTGAAAGTATTGAGCTTTTAAGTGAGAAACTGTATGTATTTTTAGAAAGTCATTATTTTACTAAACAAGATTTTTATACTATTTTTAAAAAGGCATAAAGATATGAATTAATTTTTTTTTATACTTTTAATTCTTTATTAAGAATCAGGATTACTTTGAAAAAGAGCTTTAAAGTTTTAACCATTTTTTTAAACTCAAAACCCTATGTCCCTGTCCTATGTTCATAATTTAGATTTATTATTATCATTGTAAGAGTACAGTTACTGTTTGAATTTTTTCCTATTGTAAGAGTACAGTTTTTGTTTGAATTTTTTCCTATTGCTATACTATCTATATAATTTTTCTTAAATTTCAGAGTAAAGACTAAAACACTTCGAAAGTACAGATTTTGAATTCGAAAGCTACAAGATCGCAAAATGCCAGAGCATAAACCACATGCAGTTGTTTACATAATTATGCCACTTGTTAAAGCCACTGCCACAAACCTGGGAAAAACTGAAATAGGTCCTATCAGGACCATGTCGTTGTTCAGCCTGAATCCGTACTGGCTGTAGCCCGTGACCATGAGTCCCAGATCCGTTTCGGTGTTGAAAATAGTGACTTTTGTTTTCCCATCGTGGTCGTAGGCTTTGCTAAAGTTTGCCGGAATCGCGTGAAACGGGCGACACATAGTGCTCCTTGGCAGCAGGAGTCCGCGACTTTGCCGACCCACGGCCCTCAGGGTCCTCGCAATCATGGTCTTGTGTTATAAAAGTAATTAATAGTTATTACAACAATTTAAAACAAAATAGACTGGAATCGAAAAGTTTATCAGATCAGCGTGACCGGGCGCGTGGAATTTGGTTAGCCCAATTAGTTATCGATAGTTAGCCACACATATCTGTGGCAACGATAGTTCGCTCCGCTTTGGTCACACTGGTCGGCTATTAATTTACGAAATTTACGAACAATTAACATAAACTTTTACATTTATCTGTGTGTTTTAATAATAACTTTATATTTATGTGCTATTGTTGATTACGTCTAAGTGCCACAGTGTCCAAAGGTGGAAACTCCAACAAGTTGCATGAAATTCTACAAATGAGAGTGATAAACACTAGAATGTTTTGATACAGTGTATATTCGTGTGAAATGATTCAGCAAGGCGGTGAGTAGAGCCAATAAACTGCAATTGCCCTTATTAATAGGGGTTCGATCGGCAATTCGGGTCTTAAAAATGGGTGGAAATACCATATGCCCACCTATCTTTCGGCCGTACAGGCAGGTGTATGTATGTGTGTATGTATGTATGATTGATTGATGCGTGCACGCACACACTTGCAACCAAATTAGAAGCCCCGTTAATCGTCATTGACAGTTAAAAGGTTGCTAATAGCAAGTTTAATTCTAAGTGCCATGCTAAAAGCTTCCGCAAATACCTGCAGATAGCACCGGCTGTAGATAGTATGCGGGTGGGGTGATTTCTTGCTGTGTATGTATGCCCACAAGTGGGGCGATTTAGTCATCCAATGGAACCTACCATATTGATATGTTTTCCCTCTTTCGTCATATCATTATCGCTCCCAAAATTCAGCTTGATAAGATTTTACTTCTAATCGCTACCTAAGAGAGTCACCATGATCAGTCTGATTTATAAATTGGGCAACTTTCAAGATTGTTAGGAAAATATTTAAGGAAAGATTACCTACTTTATAGCCTGTACAAAATTAGGATAGGACAATAAATTCCCTGTTGTATCTTGCTTTTTATTCCATAGAATGTAAAGATATAGTCATCCAATAAACTATATTGCATTTTCCGCCTCTTTCGCCTTTCTAGTCGCTCCCTGAAATCACCTCGATAAGAATTTAGAGTTAAACACTACCTCAAAGTGTCACCATGATCGGACCCAGTTCGCAGATCAGCAAGATCCTGCTCACCCTGCTGTTCCTGCTGATCATCTTCTACGTTTTCATGGACGTGGAGCTCTACCTGCGCATCCACAACTATGCCATCGAGCGGAACTACCACACGAATGTCTCCCTGCCCGTTTCCGCCGGCGGACAGTCCACCTCGGAGTCCGGATACGGCGGCAGCAGTACGAAACTCCCCACCGCCGCCGCCGCCGACAGGCAGCCCGCCTACGAGGACCACACCTGGATATCCTGTGATATAAACCCGCTCTGCCATGTCACCGTCAAGGCCATCCTGTTGGACCACACCAACCACTATCTGTTCGCCCCGCTGGCCACCATGTTCGACAACGTGATCGGCTTCTCGCGCTCCGCCTTCATCACGCCCAACATGATATCGTTTTTCCACGTGGGCGTGGCCTGTCTGGCGGGCAAACTGGTGGCCTCCGATAGCCTCGGTTACCGACGTCTGGGCGTGCTGCTCTTCCAGATCCGTACCTTCCTGGACGACCTGGACGGGCATGTGGCGCGCGTGCGGAAGCACATACGCGGCGAGCGCTCAGAGATCGGCACATCCGGCTACTATGTGGACGGACTGTGCGACGGACTGGGCTGCATTGCCCTGCTGCTGGGCATATTCTTCTACTTGAAGAACAACCCGCCGAGGAGGGGCTACTCGATCATACCCATGAGCGACTCCAAGGTGCCGGAGCCCACGATGATGATACCGAAGATGAAGGCCACCACGAGGAAGGTGGCCAAGAACGTGATCAGCTTCACGGGCCAGCTGCTGTTGAGCTCTACGGCGTGGAATCGCTACATAGCCGTCTACCAGAACATGCTGGAGCGGGAGGATGTGAGCGGCAGTCAGTCGCATTGCCAGGACTACGTCTTCAAGTCCACCTGGTTCTTTTGCGTGGCCTGGATGTGGCGCATCGTCAATGTCCACGCCCTGCTCCACTGCGTCCTGCTGAGCATCTTCTGCGACAAACTGTGGGACTTTCTGCGCGCGATCCGGTACAGCGGCTACATTATCCTGCTAGTTGCCATCTGTTTAACTGAAATGCACATTCTGGAGGCCCAGAACTACATCTTCAACTCTACGGCGTGCAGTAATATTTCACTGTGATTTTATTAATATTACGAGAGTAAATACAATAATATTTGTGTAGTGCAAATCAACGATGCCTTTTTTTAATGTGTATAATAAATGTATCATAATTGTTAGACTGCTCACGTTAAAGTCGGCACCGCCAATCACTAATATTTCGAAACCAACTAATGCATTTTGTCATTCGATCGCGGTCTGCAAGAGCAACAGAAACTCCTTCAGCTGTAAATAATAAATGTTATTGATTAATAAAATCTTGGTGTTTTTATGATCATAAAACTGTGGTGGTTTAATACATACGTGGGTTCACGTACAAAAAAAAAATTAATATCAACTATGTTTTAATTATTTTAAGGATGTGCTGCCACATAAATTTGTTTGGCGTCGTTGGCAGCATTGCTCAAGATCATTTGTTGATATATGCTTATGTATATAATTCAGTCATTTATAAAAATATACAAATTTAATAATAATTTATAAGACTCAATGACGGATGAAGTTGCATAGTTTCTTAACATTTGAAATACCGATGGTCATTAATTTTTTTTTTAAATCTCTTTTCAAGAAACATAAGGAAAATACAAATATAAATAAAAATAAAAATTAAAACACTGATAAGCTTAAAGCCGGAAAATGTAATCAATGTGGTGTAATAATTTCAAGGTTCAAGCGGGATAAACATATTGGAACAATTCCAATTCAAGCAATTCCACAGTCAGTGGACTTTGTAACAAATCTTAAACAATTCTCATATAGTTGTTTATTTTTGAACTTCGGTAAATCCATTAGTGAAAGAAATCATCAATGCAGTCTCATAGAACCATAAATGGGCGAAACGTTTATTTTTAATAATGACATATTTTTAGTATTTTTTGGAGGGCAAGTTGGGATTGTAAGCCGCGCCAGCGTTGGTCACACTTGTGCAAACGTCAAGCGATACATACAGGAAAAAATCGGAAAGCCAGGAAAACATGGTTCACTTTTCTAAAGATATAATGTTGAAATATCAATTGTAAATATTACCTGTTTATTATTACGCACGGATTGAAAGTGGATGTGCATAAAATAGCGTGTGTTGTGATCGAAAAACGAGCGTGGAACGTAACGTGAATACCTGAATTCTGCCTGAGTGTGAATCGATTTCGTGTGAGAGAGTGCGAGCTTAAGTCTGCATTTACTTGACATATAACTAATAATATCAAGAATATCGTGTGGGAGCGCTTCCAGAAATCGAATCAGATAACCCTCTCAATAGTGTAAGAATTGTTGTGTAACCACTTTGGGTTTACTTACCGCTAATCCTGCCAAGAAGTACTTTTTTGCGGTTTTTATTCATTCAAAACCATTGATGATTCCTTACAAACGTCATCTTATTAAGGTTCTATAAACTTTATATAGTTTAATGAATGTACCAATCTAACATTTACGTTGGGTCTAGGTCTATATTATATTTGCATTTACGACGGCTCACCTTATTATGTGTACGAGCATTTTTACCAAAACATGTGCAATTTGTTCTGATTTTCACTTCCTATTTTGGGGTGCACTGAAAAAAGTTTCACTTAGCTTAGAATGTTCATATTCATGTATATCTCAAGATTTATTTACAAGAATTATTTAAAATATGGGAAATAAAAACCATGCTAGATAGTTAAAATGTTTTGATATATTATACCTTAACTAGGTAAAAAATGTGGGACTACCTTTGACCTTCCCTACGTAAACATTTTATTTATCTTAACAATTTGCTATGTTAGGTATTTAGCTACTGAAATATTTGTAGGTTTTTTTATTTTTTAATTAGCTTGATTTAATAAAACTGAATTTAATTAGATTGCATAATTTCATTGCAACTTGAAGAAAAATTTATTTTAGCGCATATGCAGGTTGTACATGTTTCTGCATCCACACTACAACTTCATAAATCACAAATTGTCTCCAAAATTAAAAAAAAAATTATACTACAAAAAGTGTTTTTTTTTTATTAACATTTTTGTATATTTTATCCTCCTATTTCCTTGACAAATGGGGTACCTTTAACCTTACCTAGGTAGTCATTTTCTCATTCTTATTTCCCAACACTGCATACGATAGATTTTGGTTCTCCATTTAATCGATATTATAAGTAGGCAGCAGAACTCTTGTTAAAGAATACTTGAATTTTAAAAATGTATTACTGAAATCCTCTTGTGTTGACTGGGTCCTTTACGAATATTGTGTGTAAAAAGTGGTATTTTGAAAATGCATCTGGAAAGAACGGATGAACTGAGTGAGTGCATTTCATGAATGCAGGGCAGAATATGTGGGATGCTTCAGTTGATTGAATGATATGGTGGATCATTTATAGAGCGAAGTGTGAGCCGCGTGCGGCGATCGATATTCCTAACTCTGTGTCGTTTCTAGCAGCACTCGAAGGAGGAGAGTCCGTGTCCGTATCCGTGTCCTTGGTAATGGATTTCGTTCAAGTTTCGGAGGAGGAAGGTGACGAGCCCATCGAGCTGCCGGCCGAGGAGGATGGCACTCTGCTGCTGTCCACCCTGCAGGCACAGTTTCCTGGATCCTGCGGTCTCAAGTATCGCAACCTGGACACGAAGGCGGTTCGAGGCGTTCGCTCCAACGAGGGCAGACTGTTTCCGCCCAGCGTGGACTCCGGCTGGGGGGAATACCTGTACTTTTGTGTGTTTCCCAAGGGTAAGACTTGGTATTTGCCACACAAGTGGGAGGCACTTAACTTGATCAGCATTTGTGCTTTGCAGAAAACAAGCGCAAGAGCGACGATAACTTGGAAAACTCAACGGCAAAGACCAAACGCATTGAGACCCGGCTGCGATGCACTGATCTTATTGTACTAGGCCTGCCCTGGAAGACCACTGAGGAGAGTCTGCGGGAGTACTTTGAGACTTACGGCGAAGTGCTGATGGCCCAGATCAAGAAGGACACCAAGTCGGGGCAGTCGAAGGGCTTTGGATTCGTGAGATTTGGCTCGTACGACGCCCAGATGCGCGTTCTCTCCAACCGCCACCTCATCGACGGTCGTTGGTGCGAGGTTAAGGTGCCCAACTCCAAGGTGAGACCCCTTTTCAGGCCCCAAAACTGGACAGCAAGTAATCGTCTTTATCTTGCAGGGCATGGGCCATCAGGTGCCTTGCAAGGTCTTCGTGGGCCGCTGCACAGAGGACATAAACTCGGACGACTTGCGGGAGTATTTCTCCAAGTTCGGCGAGGTAACAGACGTGTTCATTCCCCGTCCCTTTAGGGCCTTTAGTTTCGTCACTTTCCTCGATCCTGACGTGGCCCAGTCGCTGTGTGGTGAGGATCACATAATCAAGGGTAAGTTAGTTATGTTTACAATGGGAAACTTTAATAACTAAGATGATCTTACTAGGAGTTTCGGTGCATGTGTCGAATGCCGCCCCGAAAGCCGAGCAGAACAGGAACCAGCAGGTTCAGAGCTACAATTATAACTCGGCGAACAGCTTCGGCATGCACTCGTACCACCCGCAGGGCAACCACATGAATCCCGGCCGCAACGGACACCATAGAGGTAATAACCAACACAGCGCTCACGGCGGTGAGAGCTCAATCATCGCCAATAATCACAGCAACATTGGCACCACCGGCTACGGCATGGGCGGCAATAATTACGGCGGGAATTCGGGCGGGGGCTATCACAACAATAGCAGTAATCACTCTAGTGGCGGGAACGCAAATCGCCAGGACGGCGGCACCCAGTATAACAGTAGGCAGGCCAACTTTCACGGAATGAACCAGCCCCACAACGGCAACGTGGGCGGCAGCAACGGCTGGATGAATCGGGGCCACCTGGACATGCCCAATCTGCAGGCGCTGGGTATCAATTCGCAGGGATCGAGCTCCTCCAACCAAGGCCAGAACATGAGCAACCAGTCGATGCTCAATCTGAACTCGTTGCCGCTCAATCCCGCCCTGGTCGCTGCCGCCTTGAACCAGTGGAGCCTGGTGGGCAACCAGCTGCAGAATCAAAACCAGGACCAGCAGGCAAGCCTCCACATCTCTCTCAATGTTTCAAACAAAAAACTCTTTCAGTTACTTCGCAGGGAGGAAATTTTTTATCATGGATGGCCCAAAACGGTGGCCACAACAATGCCAACAACTTTGGCGGCCGGAAGGGATCGAATAACCCGAACAACCCGGGCGCCAACGGGATGAACAAGGCGGACAATTCCGGCTGTAATGACCCACAGGTACTTTACACTAAAGACCCCTAAGAGGACGCCTCACTAATGTTTTACAACTCTTTGCAGAATGGTAACACCGGATGGTCGAACCAGAGCAGCGGCTCTCAAAACTCTGTGGAAAAGTCAAACTTTCTTTAAGGCGGTACCAACAGCACGATTCGGTACCGGTACCAACTAATGTGGTTAATAATGACGCTGATTTAACCAGAACCTCTGTAGTTTACTTAAATATATATGTATTCTACATTTACAGAAATTAAGAATTGTATTTAAAATGTGCTAGATATTTTGATAATTGTAAGTAAATGACACTCGATGGAGAATAATACAATTTATAGAACCCTTTGCGAAATAAATTCTGCACCAAAGCTCAATTTAAAGGACTGTATTAATTATTTTATCCCTTTGGTATTTTGGCAATGTATGTTAAGTTTTAAAAATGAATTATTGGGAACGTAAAATATAAATCTATAATCTTAAGATTTAATGTTAAAGCAATATGGTTTGCATTTAATTAGAATATCAACATTTTTGGTATTCTGCAGACATAAAATTTCTAAAATATATATTTTGTTTATATATTTAGCCTAGGTACTACTTCTTTCGGTTGAAAAACTATCAGCATAGCACTCACATATTTAGCTTTAGTAATTAAGCAGAAAAAAAAACACCATTCAATACGATTTTATTAAGAGCAAGTTTTACCGAATTTACCGATAACTAAAGCTGCCATATATTCTGAATTTTAAATTCAAAACACAGCTGATGAATGCGAACTTGGTAAAAGCATTTTAGCCAAGTTCAATTTTTCTTGATTGCTATTATAATTTGAGTTTTGTTTGAGTTAAGATTGAAGAATACCCCCAACAAGCGAGCTTTATGTCAACAAAAATACAACCCTGTGTGTTTCATTCCGACATTCCATTATTCATAAGAAGCCCGCAATAACGGAATTTCGTTCTGCGACGCGTGAATTTTGACACATGAAGTTTGCTGAATTTCGAAGCACACAGATGCGAACCCGCTGCCTCCCGAAATGAACAAGATCATCCAGGACAAGTTTATTCCGCAGCAATTGTTGTACTTTATTGCCGGCCGGCGCTGCTGCCAGCAATTTCCGTGCACATTCCGGACCAGCGAGCACAAAGCGTTCGTGAATTGCGCGCGCTCCTTGGGCCTCCGATCGCAGATTGTGCAGGTCAATGGCAACGGGTGCGTGAAGATCTACAAGCAGGCATGTCGCCACTACCTGGAGGAGCCCAAGATGCTGACCATGTCGTCGGGCGCCACGCTGAGCATGTTCGGCCTGCTGGGCAAGAAGTCCTTAATGTGCAGAGAGGAGTTGGAGCTCAGCGGCGACATGAACACGAAAAAACCCAGTGCCACGGACATGCCATCACTGCAGCTACCCCTGTTCCCCATCCGTCCGCCGAATCTGGGCAGCTGGACGGAGACGCAGCGCCAATTCCTTGCCAGCTTTCCGGGTCACCAGATGCGCGGCGAGATTATGCAACCCCTCTACGCCCACCGGGTGATCGTCTTCAATGCGGACCTCTCCTGGGACAAGTCCGTGTTCCTGCCCCTGCTCATCCTGGACGACTGCCAGACCAAGAAGTCCAATGCCAAGATCATCTGCATCGAGCGGCAAGCCATTGTGGCCCTCTACAACAGCCAGCGTATGGCGAACTTCTTTGGCGAGCAACTGGGCGATACTGTGGGCCTCCAGCTGCCGCACTTCAGCAACATCGGCTCCACCACCTTCGTCGTCTTCTCGACGGCCGAATATTTTCTCCGCTCCCTGGCCAGCCAGAAGTTGAGCAACATAAGTCACCTCGTGGTGAACGATGTGCATCTGCATGATCCCCATACCGATATCCTGCTCAGCGAGATTCGCGACGCCTTGAACAGCAGTCCAAACCTGAGGGTGGTGCTGCTGTCGCAGATGGCCGACACCAAGAAGTTCATCGACTTCTTTGGCGAGGGCTCGGAGCTGAATGTGATGCACCAGGAGCATCAGCAGCATCAGCAGCCGGAGGCGAGGCCACGCATCTCCTACCTGAACGAACTGCACAGCTGCATTGCCCTGGCCGGGATCCACAAGGGGCCAGACGTCTACAAGGAGCTCCCGGATGCATTCCGCACCCAGAGCCAGCGCAACGATCAGATCGACAAGTGCCTGCAGGCCTACGCCGAGATGGGCACGGATGCGGCCATACGTCCGTTTCTGTATGCAGTCAACTATGACCTGGTGCCGGTCAACTACAGGCACTCGATGAACGGCAGGACGGCCGTGCACATTGCCGCCGAGCTGAACAACGACACCCATCTCCGCCTGCTGCTCTTCATGGGCGCCGATCCCTATATCCTAGACATGAATCACCAAAACGCCATCTCACTGGCGGCCATGAATGGCAATCACATGTGCATCGACATCCTCAACCACTACAGTCTGCATGGCTATGTGGTGAAGAGCGCCAAGCCGGATTTCGTGGACTACGATCGTATAATAGACATCATGTATCTGTTGCGCACCAAACCGGAGTATTCACCAGGTGAGTGTGCTTTATTGCTGGAAATTATAGGACTAAGCTAGGATATAAACTAATTTGAAGGCTATATTTAGCTTAATTATAAGGAGTTTCAGGATTAAGTTAATATTTAAACTAGATATAAAGTTTTTAATTAATTGTAAGGAGTGGCAGGTTTAAGCTAATATTTAAACTAGAAATGTAGTATAAGACTTCAAATTATCAAGACTTGCAGATCTGAGCCAAGATGTAATCTAATTTAGAGGCAATACTTAGTTAAATGTTCAGAAGTTTGCACTAAAAGTTCACTATTAGTTAGCAAATATTTATCTGGATGCCTTAAACAGCATTTTTAAGGAAGGCTTGGCCAAAATGATCAATGATAGATTAAAAATGGTTTGTAACGGTCTCGAAGTGACCCGTTCCCCAAGTTTGAAAACGATTAATCGGTGGAAGTGATGCACCAATCGCCGCGCAAAAAGTTCCATCCGCAACGACGGCTATCGATTAGTATCGCCTGTCAATTGGGCATTGTTTTTTATAGAAGCAGCAAGATGAGCACCTACCTACAGAGCAGCGAGGGCAAGTTCATCCCGGCCACCAAGCGCCCGGATGGCACCTGGCGCAAGGCGCGTCGCGTCAAGGATGGCTACGTGCCGCAGGAGGAGGTGCCGCTGTACGAGAGCAAGGGCAAGCAGTTCGTGGCCCAGCGCAGCCAGGCCGGAGTGCCGCCTGGCATGTGTCCCCTGCTGGCCGCCGAGTCCAAGAAGGAGCGCGAGAAGCAGGAGCGGACCAAAGCCAAGCGGCAGGACAAGGATGCGGCCAGGCAGCCAAAGGCGCCGACGCCCGGTGTCCTGGTTATGCAGCCACCGCCATCCAGCACGTGTCCGCCTCTAAAAGCCAATCAGCAGCAGCAGCAGCAGCAGCAGCAGCCATCTGGCAGCCGGGAGATCAACTCGTTGGCCAAGGCCATGGAGGACACACTCCAGCTGGACGGACAACCTCAGGAGGTCGATCCCGCCAAGCTGTTGAAGAAGCTGCGCAAGAAAGTCCGCGAAATCGAACAGATCGAGAGCCGGATTCAGGCCGGCGAGCAGAAGAAACTGGACAAGGATCAGCTGGACAAGGTGAAAAAGAAGTCGGAGATCCTGCGGCAAATCAAGGCCTTGGAGAGCGAGCCGCGCTCATAGCCCTAAGTGCCCGGCCAGTCCACTCAGATACTGCTATATCCTCACCCTGTGAACAAATCACCGACCAGAAGTCGCGCCGCCTCACACGAAAACAAAAAACACATACGAGTACATGCCTATGTCTGTTAAATAGTTATATTAGTTTTAGGCGAAGATGTCAAAGCCATTTAGTAATATCGATCTATTTTATTAATGTGTGTCTGTCTTAAAACCTAGTTTATACGAATGGAGGAGTGCCGCGTTTATTTATGTATAGGTAACTTTGTAAATCAGATTTAATAAATTAAACCCATTTGAAGCGAATAACATTAAAAAGAGTCGTATGATATTACTTCTTATTATACCCTTGCAGAGGGTATTACAATTTCAGTCAGAAGTGAAGGAGACACTTCCGACCCTATAAAGTATATATATATTCTTGATCAGCATCACTAGAAGAGTCGATCTAGCCATGTCCGTCCGTCCGTTTCTATGCAAGCTTGTCTCCTAGTTTTAAAGCTATCTGCATGAAATTGGAAAAACGAATGGAAAAAATTATAATTTTGTGATGTTTAATTTATTTTTAGTTTAGATTTTTGACATATAGTAATTGTTTAATATCTCAGAACTACGGTTTAAATTTTATCAAAATCGGAAGACTATATCATATAGCTCCCATAGAAATAATCAAAATGTTAAAAAAAAAAAAAAATAAAAGAAAATCTAAATTCTTTATTTTTTATTTCTTTATAACATATACATAAGCTGCCATATGAGCGATCGAATAATTGAGCTGAAAGTCAAGTGTTCAAGAGAATAGGATACGAATCCTTGCAATAGCTGCAAGGGTATATGAATTTCGGCTTACCGAAATTTGCTTCCTTTCTTGTTTGTGCTCTACTATTATCTACTTTAATCGATTTCCCTGTTTTTCAGGCAACATCCTCATAATTTTGCCCACCTACTACCACATTGTTAAGCTGAACTATATGCTACTGAGTCACTATCTGACTGGCAACCTGCCGGAGCTCTCCATTTTCACGCTGCACGAGAACATGAGGAGGGAGTACATCGATGCCTTGGTCAATGCTCGCGAGGACACCGTGAAGGTGGTCCTAACCACCGATATTATCGAATCGCTCTGTCTTAAGGTGTCCTTCAAGTACGAAATAGACACTGCCTGCAGTCTCAACCAAATCTACGATAGCAGCACCTACACCGGGGACGATCGATACGAATGGGTGGCCAAGGATTGCCTTCTGCGCAGGGAATCGATTCTCGATCTCGAAGGTTTGTACTCTTTATGTCTAGACTGAAGTAACTAGCTTAAGAGAAATTAGAAATTTTTTATATTTATCTGATATTTTGTACACATATTATGTTATATTTTAACTGTATTTTAAGACTAAGTATTGGACAAAATATTTATTTGGAAAGGAGCTACAGTTAATCTCCGGGAGCTCCTCTTATAAAAAAACGTTTTGGGGTGACCACTATATCTTTGGACTGGTTGCTCCGTTATAAAAAAATCAAAGAGATGTCGTTGAAGTATTGTCAAATCTAGTAATTAATCGAAGAAATAAGAAAAGTAAAGTTTTTTGACAAAATGGCGGTTACACAAAAAAAGAAAATTATTTTTGAGCAAATTTTCGGTCTTAAATTGTTTATAAAATAAATGTTTAAAGTTTGTACTTGCAAGCATTTTGAAATGCCTTTTAAACTTTTAAAATATTCACTGAAACAATATGAAATTTTCTTATATATATAAAAAAAAATAAAATAGTTAAATTTTTTAAAATTCTAGCTGTGTATAACCCCTTAAATTGTGTTCTTTTTGCAGCTGCCGATGCGCAATGCTTCCGTTTGATATCCAAAGAGGCTTTCGAAGAGCTGGGGGAGAAGAGTCAGCCGCGCCTGCAAACTATGCAGCTGGACAAGATCTGCTTGATGGTTAAGTTGCTCTCGCCCAACATGATTATAAGTGAATATCTGGGCCTCACCATCTCACCACCGCCGCTGATCAACGTGCACCAGGCGGTGCAGTTTCTGAAGAAAATAGACGTGCTGGACGAGGCTGAGGATGTGACCTGGCTGGGCTGCCGACTGCAGGACATCCCTGTGCCTTGCCAACTCGGCCGCATACTGATCTTTGGCATTCTGCTGCAATGCCTCGATCCAATACTCACCATCGTAAGCTCGCTGACCACGGCGGATCCGCTGGCCATTCCGTTCAACGAGGACATCGATCACCTGTGGGACAGATTCACCATTTACATCCAGAAACGCATCAAGAACGAGCGGGCACGCCTGGCGGACAATCAGTTGTCCGATCACTTCATCTTCGTGCGCTTGTTCCAGGAATGGCAAAACCGACTGCACGACAAGATAGCTCGGCTATATCTCACGGATGAATACGACTTTGTGCTAAACGGGCTGATGGAACAGCTCAGCTACACGCGCTCCAACCTTGTCAGCTCCCTGCGGGCCTCCAATTTGGTCCACAGTCGCGGGAAGCTGAGCTTGCATAATCTCAACCAGATGTCCGGTAATTGGCACGTAGTAAAGGCGGCCCTGACGGGCGGCATGTATCCCAATATTTGTGCCGTGGACACTGGTAAAAACTGCTTGAAATCGGCCTTTTCCGGGAATGTTTACCTGCATCCCAACACTGTGCTCCGTGACTTTTTGGAGCCATTCAACACTTCGGCTCTGAACTTTCGCACACCTTGGATTGTGTGCACCAAGCAGAAGAACCATATCATATACGCCACCATGGTTGTTCCCTTGGCGGTGGCTTTGTTTGCCGGTAAGCTGTTGTGAAATACACATAAGCAAAGCCTAAGATGTTTTAATTATTTATTAAGGACCTCCCCGCCTTCGGGTTTCTCAAATATGCAACACCCAAGCGACTTCCGCCGATGGCATCGTTAATCTCTTCATAGACGAGTGGATCTGGATGGTTATGTCCAACACTTCGGCGGAGATGATCATGCGAACGCGTCAGTACTTCTTCAAAATGTATCACGAATTGCTGAAGAACTGTAGTGACCAGGACTTGTGGCGCACCAACACCTTGACGGGTTCACATAACGCCGAAATGGCTGAAACCCTAGCGCAGATTTTCGAGAACGAGGAGTCTTTCGTCGGCTTCCCCAAGCCGCCGCCCACAAACTATCTGGCACATAGCAAGATACCGGCCTTGTATCTTCTGAAAGTGAATGGGCAGTTCAGTTGGCTCCGTGAAATGGATGAGAATCGGGCGTTGTTCCAAAAGGCCAAACAATTCAATTCACATTTCGTGGAGAGGCAATTTTTCCTGCTCTTCTCGGATGGCGAATGCGAGGAGTTCTACACCAAAAGCACAGCAGCCTATATTGAAAGTGTGCTGGGGAAGTTTGCCAGGCCCATCGAGTCACCCAACAGACATATCTTTGTGGTTCTCTACAGGAAGGATCCAGCGGTAATGCTCAGCGTTAGTCGAGCCAAAACTATTAATGGTGAATTTACGCTGAAGGAATACTTCCGGAACTCCATTCCAGTGCATGAGATTTTGTGAGTATGAAAAACACTTCGAAAGACTATTCAAATCAAATGGGATTTCCTTTTAGAGAGGCTTGTATATCGTTAAATGTCAACGTGCCAATATTCGATGGTCGCCTAATGTCTTGTCTGATTGACAAACGTGTGGGAAACTTAATCATGGATCTGTTCGCATTCCGACATCATTGGATTCACAAGCGATAAACCAGGGTTTTTGGTTAATTTTTTATTGTGCGCTCACAGACAGAACCAAAATTAGTATGTATTTGTGTGTATAAGCATTACTGCTGAATGATTTTGCTTGTCAGTAAATAATATTTTGTATTGTTTATATGGTTTATTTTACGAAAGATTTTGAATATTTTTATTTGTAGTAAAAAATAAGCATGTATACTAAGCATTGTAAAAGCACAACGTTGCTGTAATATTGTGTTTATCTGGATGTTTATTTTGAATGTTATGTATATGAACATTTTAAGTTGAAGTGTAAACTATAAGATTACCAAATTAAGTGTGTATCACTAAAATTATGTTTTTGAATGTTCATTTTAATAGCAAGACAATAAAAAAGCCATGCTTACTGAAATTAATCCAAAAGTTCTTGTTATTAGTTGTCCCATTAATACACTTCGTAATCCATTTCAGTTAGGTACAGCGCTGTATATTTCTATAAAATATATTCGAGATTAGTACAGAGATGGACATCTACACAGAAATGCTTTATATTGCTTAGCCTAAGTGGTAAATTGAATTCAATGGCACCCGCAGGATTTCACAATCATGTTTCTATACTTTTTCAGGTTGACATTCTCGTCGTTCAGGTGGTACAGAACGGGAAGGGCGCCCAGCCTGGTGGGGGCACAGCAGGGCTTGGGCACCTTCTTGGGCTCCAGCAGGTGGACCAGAGTCTGGACGATCGCATGGTTGGTGGCGTTCATGTGCGCGTTGAGCGGGAAATTGCACTCGCCGCTGCAGTAGAAGGCCCCGTAGCCCTCGGGGGCGATGATCCAGTCGTGCCAGCCCAGATCCTTGAAGTCTATGTACAGGGTCTGCATCTGGCAGCTGCGTGTGTTCTCCAACGGTTCCAGGAGCGGCACATTGTTCGGAGACACCGACTTCTTGCGCTTGCGCGGATGGCTGGCACTGCGCTTGCTCCGGTGGTGACTGCTGTGGGCCGTGGCCTTGATCAGCTCCGGTCCCCGGAAGAAGCCGATCATGAAGGGCTGGAACTCGTCGTCCACCTTGCGATGGATCAGGCCAATGTCGTCCAGCTTGACCTCGCGATCGGGTCGATTCACGGCATGTGCCCCAATGTAAATGCCGTGGTTGTCCTTCGACTTGACCAGCCACTCGTGCAGGCCCTCCGTCACATTGAGTTCCAGCCAGCCCACATAGTCGCCCGTGGTGTTCACCGAGGAGAGCGGCTCCATGGTGTGCTGCTGGCCCATCGGCCCGGCTCCGATGGCATAGACCGTGATGGTGAACTCCCTGCTGGCCGTCAGCCACTTGCCCTCGTTGGAGTTCTGGTAGATGCGCAGCTCGGCCATCACCAGGTAGTTGTCGTTGGGCACCTTGGAGACATCGAACCACAGACGCCGGCCGTGCTCGTGACGCAGTTCGTCCACATTGTGGTGGCGCTTGTTCAGGAAGGTCATGATGATGTCGCTCTCGTCGATGGCCCGCTTGTCCAGATCGGTGATGAAGTTCTTTTGCTCGCCCTCCACCTCCTCGTCGTCTACCTCCTCCAGATCGGCGCTTCTCCTGGCCCGATGGCCATGCTCATCGGCATCATCTTCCTCGTGGTCATCATCGTGATCATGGTGATCATGGTGCTCGTGGCTCAGGCCCTCCTCCGCCGTGATGCGATGATACACGTCCAGCAGGAACTTGGGGGCGGACTTGCGCAGCGACAACTTCTGGCCGCTCAGATGGGCGGGACGCTCGGGGATGCCCAGAAACTCGAGGATCTCGTAGGACACGTCCAACTTGTCGTCGTCGCTGAGCACCCGGTGCATGACCGTCTGGTCCCGGCCATTGTCTATGTAGATCCCCGACTGGGTGGCCTCCACCGACGTCGGCGTGGTGGCCACAAAGATGAGCACCACCAGTCCGAGGCCCAGCGAAGCCACAACCGCAACAGCCTCCGAGGTGTTCCGCAGACCCGACAACATACTGATACTGCTACTGAATACTGGACGGATCGGTTGCGATCACGATCGATCACTATGTGGCGCTATGTTCAGGGACTATCTTCTAGGCGATCGCATTCAGGTGTACACAAACATTTAATTGCCTATTTCGGGAGTTCCAGCGAACCGCAGGTTCTGAAAATTCTGACGCACTTACGGATTGTAGTGTGTATCTTAATCTTCAAGATGCATTTTCTGCGCATTCCAACGAGGTTGGCAGCACCGCGTCTTCGACATCATAGATCGAACCACAAGAACCGCCATTGTAGTAGTTCATTTGAACTGTGATCGTTAAATATTTTATAAGCAAACATAAAATTACATGTTTTAGAGGTAAAACAGTAGTGTGTAAATTGTATTGATCCCAATACTTTACTATTTTGATGGTACTTTTATTATAGCTAATTCGATCATATATCCGTTAAAGAAGGAATTCATAATTGTAAGTAATAAACCTTTTGATCAATGATAAATTATTAAATTAAAAACTTTATGTAAAGAAATAAACACACATGATCAGGATATTAAATATTTTTATAATTTTCCTTTATTGCTTCACATTGATAAAAGTTTAACTATTCGAAACTATACATTCTATTAAATTTACAATTTTCCTTTACTGTTCAACATTGTTGTTAAAACTATTCAAAATTAAACATGAGACATATAATAAATTTTAAAAATTAAATCTGATTCATTAAAAATTGATCAAAGCGCAATAAACTTTTAATAAAATATCAAAGTATATGTAATATACGGATTTCCCACAGCTGCTTAAAAAATTTGTTTTTGAAAAAGTAGCTTTATACCATTCAAACAGGCACCAACTCCGGTATAAAAAATATGGGGGAACGTGAAAACCAGTTTCCCCGCAAATAAAAGGATTTAGATCGCAAATCTGTATATAATTTTGACAATACCAAGTGCAACACAATAATCGCAACAGCGAGTTGCAGCGAAAAAAGAGCTGTTGCGGAATTCGTTCGCTGTTGCGAAAGCACCGCCAGTGTGAACAGGCTACGTTTTCATGCGATACATTATCGTTAATTCCGATATGTTCGATAAAAAGATATTTTGATATGTTTTTGCCATCGCATCCCCCGTCTTCATTCCGTTTCGGCGTCGCGGCAAGATAACTTGTTTATTTCGTTTTAGTTTTAAGTTAGCGCGTTTTTCCCCACCGCCGGTGTCGCCCAAATAATGCTAGACACAGCCTAGAGCAACGGTGAGCTGGATTCAGTGGGCATGGGATAGTACGGCCACCACTTAACTTAACCCATCTATGAGCAGGCAAACCAACTAGTACACATACCGCCACACAAGCAGAAACGGAAACGGAATAATGGGCCGCAGCCGGAGTCCCGCCTCGCCGGCACACAGGAGACGCGAGAAGGAGCGATCCGAGAGAAAGAAGCGCAGGGAGCGGCGTTCCCGGGAGAGAGAGGCCATCGGAGTGGCCCCAGCCGGAGGATCAGGCGGAGGAGGAGGAGGAGGTGGCCCCAGTCGCCGTGACCGGGAGCGGGAGCGCGACCGGAGTCGCAGCCGTGAACGGGAGCGGGATCGCGATCGTGCGCGGGGCCGGCGATCTAGGTGAATAACAAAGTGTAGTGTACCAAAAGCCAAAACGATAAGTATAAAACTAGTCATTAGAACCTAGAAATAAGAAGCCAGTCCAGGGGCGTAATGAGGGTAAAACCAAGGGGTAAATATTGGCATTTGTTAAGGGATTTTACAGTTCTAAAGATTTTAAGGGTTAACCTCACTAGAACTGTATAGGTATAACCTAAGTTTTAGTGGTTAAACAGCTAGGCTAATGAAAATGATTTAAAAAATCAGTTAAAGGGGTAGCTAACCCCCCGACCCCCCCTGTAACCCACCGCCCAGAACTTGTTTATTTACCCGCGAGTATCGATAGGCCCCACCAGTTCGATAGGCAGGTTATCGAAGGCTATGCAGCTCTGGCGGCTCAACAAAAAAAAAATTACCACGTGAAGCGAAATTGTGCGAATTTCATCACAGCTTTTAAACAGTTTTCCGGCCATATAAACCAAATCCAGAGACTCCCAAGATTCGGGCTCAGTCAGGCCAGCAAATCCGCTAAGAGAGTAACCAACGAGTGAAGAGCAAACCGGCATAAACAGAGAAAATGGCGCTGCGCGTGCAATTCGAGAACAACGACGACATCGGCGTCTTCACCAAGCTGACCAACACATACTGCCTGGTGGCCATCGGCGGATCCGAGACCTTCTACAGCGCCTTCGAGGCGGAGCTGGCCGAGACGATCCCGGTGGTGCACGCCAATGTGGGCGGTTGCCGGATCATCGGCCGTCTCACCGTGGGCAACAGGAACGGGCTACTGGTGCCCAACTCCACCACCGACGAGGAGCTGCAGCACCTGCGCAACAGCCTGCCGGATGCCGTGAAGATCCAGCGCGTGGAGGAGCGCCTGTCCGCACTGGGCAACGTGATTGCCTGCAACGATTATGTGGCCCTGGTTCACCCGGATTTGGATAAAGAGACCGAGGAGATTATCGGGGACGTGCTGAAGGTGGAGGTCTTCCGGCAAACCATTGCCGACAACACACTGGTGGGCTCGTACACCGTGCTGAGCAACCAGGGCGGCATGGTGCATCCCAAGACCAGCATACAGGACCAGGACGAGCTGTCGTCCCTGCTGCAGGTGCCCCTCGTGGCGGGCACTGTCAACCGGGGCAGTGAGGTCCTCGCCGCCGGCATGGTGGTCAACGACTGGCTCTCCTTCGTCGGCATGAACACCACGGCCACAGAGATTTCGGTGATCGAGAGCGTCTTCAAGTTGAACCAGGCACAGCCAGCCACGGTGACGACCAAGCTGCGAGCGGCCCTCATCGAGGACATGTCCTAAGCGTCACCATTTACCACCTTTTATACTTGGTCTAAGGATTATCTGTTATCTTCTACACGAATGTCATATAAGTGCGAAATACAAAAAACAAAATTGAAAAAAGACTGGAGCTGCAGACATCTCAAAGCTACTTCAAATTGTTGGAACTGTTAGGAAGCCATGGGTTTAGTTTAGACTGTCTATAACTTCAGATATCTATAACTAAAGTTTTTACCTAGGATAAGATATGTTGTTTGTATAGTTATTTGAAAATTGCAGTTGTCGGGGAAATATTTTCATAAGTTTGGGTAATAGTTTAGAACTACTTCTCACTAGTAACTTGTATTTTCTTCTTAAAAACAAGGTATACTTTCAATTTTAAATGAATAACCGGTTATTTAATAAGGTTCCATATTATTAGTTTTTTTTTAACATCCGCCCTAGCCGGTTTTCCGATGCATTTGCGATTATCTACCGGGATTGGGCCTTCAGATTATTATGAATCAACTCAAATTATTTGCCAAAAAAACGTGGTCTTATTGAAGCAATCCGACCGGTTGCAAAGTGTCGCATTTCGCTTAATTAAAACTTCAAATTGCACAACTGGGTGCACAATGCTCAAGGTCGCCCCAGTTAATTCCCAGGCTCCTTTTTGCAATTCGAATGGAATCAACTGGTCCTGTCACTCACAGACCAACTGAACAGTATTGAAACTCACAGCTCACGATGCACGTTATGATTCATGGTTTGCAGATCGCGGTCGAGGGGCGCCGGAGGAGGAGGAGGAGGCGGCGGCGGAAGCAGCGGCGGCAACAGCAGCTCCGGACCATCGACGTCGCGAAGGACGACGAGGAACAATGCGGCGGCCACAGCTGCCGACCGGCCCAAGCTCAACGAGGCAGACCTGGAGGGTAAATCGCCGGAAGAGGTCGAGATGCTCAAGACAATGGGATTCTGCACGTTCGACACCACCAAGAACAGGAAGGTCGAGGGCAACGACGTCGGAGAAGTGCATGTAATCCTGAAGCGAAAGTACCGCCAGTACATGAATCGCAAGGGTGGCTTCAACCGGCCGCTCGATTTCGTGGCCTAGCAGTCCTTGGCTATTGTCATTGCCACATGCACAGCCATCTCCACATCCTTTTCCTTTGCCCAACTAGTTTGCTACGCTTTTTTACTTGTCCGTGCCCAATGGGCGACGGACGAAGACCTGCAATTTTATGCAATAGACCGGTTTACGAAATTCAGCCAGCTTTTGGCCCCATCCAAATTTCCACTCTTCAAGCAAGCTCTGCAAGAGGACAGCCTCATCACACTCATACCTCATCAATTAGTTATTTAGTAGTTTAAGCCTGAAGTGCGCCTTTGTTATAAAGTTGGCCCCCCAACGTTAATTTTACAACAAATATCTGGGGCTGAAAGCAATTCCAACCCCCTTCGGTTGGATAATCTGCTTTCAGCTGCAGCTGACCACGCACGACGATTGCTTTTTGAATATTTCAAAGTAATTAACAATTGTTTTTGTTGACATCTCACCATTTTGTACGAATACGAATTAACTGAAGCCAGCCTGATAACGAAATTCACAACAGCAAAATTTCCAAACTCACATACAGACAATTACTTAAAGTATTTGAAAACACACCACAGTCCGAAACGAACCATATATCCGTATCCATATCCATATCCTTATCCTGATCCAAATCCTCAATACCAAAACCACCCAACAAACTTCCTCCATACGCTGCAATAGTACAACTTTTACAACCAAACAATATATATCAAATATATATTTTATATATATAGAAATTAAAATATACACACACACCACAAGTACCTTATCCCCGGAACCCCCAGAATGAACCTTACAATAGCCATAGCAATTTGTTGAAAGAATCATAATTTGTTTAACAATCAAAATGTTGTAATTAATCCAGTTAATTCCGATTTAAATCACAAGTGCCAACAGATCAGGCAAACCAACGATGAAGATAAATCACGTTTTTATAGAGATATTTGTATATTCATTTTGTACTCTTTTTATAAGATAGACATGAATATTTGTATGCCGCAACCAGCAAACTATTATTAAGCAATAGTTACCGTTTTTTTTGACTTTGGAAAACAACATGTATTTGAAAATTTAAATCATTTCGGCCACACCACACCACCCACACACATCTTATATCAATTATTTGTAGTTTTACACATAAACGAAATTGCAGGGATATTTGTCTTACTTCATATTCTCCTACAATAAACTGATAATAAATTTGTAAAACCATTTCTAATACTCTGACTCTTATTTATTAAAGTTGAATTTAATAAGAAATAAGCTGGATAATAATAATGGGATTGTATTTGAATATTTTGGGTAACAATTATAAGCAGCTAGTAAACAAAAGCAATAGGGATTAAGTATTTTGCAAAAACATGAAATGCTAAGTCAATTCCTTGAATACAACATTTTATTTTATATTATATTGAAACCCCACAAATGAATAACGACAATTTAATTGATTTTTAGTTTATTTTGTAATACGAAAATTTAATACAATTTGCAATTTGATTGAAATTCAATTACAAATGAAATGCTTAAGAGAAGATAATTGTGTAGAAATCAATGTGAACACAAAACACAATGCTTGGGGGAAAAAAAAGTACAAGACTAAATTTAAATGTAGTTATTGTTACGCTTGTTTTTGCTTAATGGATTATAATTTTGTTTACATAATTAAGAAATACATGAGGTACCGTTATCCGGCTAGGATTAAGTTGGGGGGAAAACAATCAGTTTTGTGCGCAAAGGCAGAGCAGGGTATCTGCTTGAATGATGCTTGGTAAGAGCTTGCGTTTCTCTCGATTCTGTGTGTTAGTCTTTTTGTTGCCGCTTCTGATCGCTAAGGCTGATCCTGAGGGACCCGGCTGCACCAGCACCTAATCGCCCTTGCGTGGCTTGCGCTTGCGCACCTGTTCCGTCTTCTCGGGCGCAGCATCTCCGGCCTGCTTGGGCTCCGGCTTCTCGGCCTTTTCCGGCTCGCTGTCGGCCTCCTTCTCCTGCGAAGCGAGATCGCCCGCCGGCTCCTCGCTGTCCTCCTCCTCCTCCTCGTCGTCGTCATCGTCCTGTGGCTCTTCCTCGTCGCTCTCGCGCTGCTCATCCTCGTTCTCCTCGCCCTCTCCATCGTCCTCGATCTCCTCGGTGGCCAAATCCTCTACGCCCTCGGCCAGATTGTCTTGCGACTCGGAGAAGCTCTGGCGCTGCGATTTCTTGGGTGGATACACAAAGTCCACAAGGCACACGAGCAGCAGCCCCAGGGCGGCGCCCACGAAGATGGTGGCGATGGCGAAGAGGGCGTAGGAGCCCCACGTGGGTAGGCCGTACTCCTCCTGCAGCCGCCCGTTGAAGTCCTTAAAGAGTTTTTGGGTGTGCTATTAGTACATGAACCCAACATACAAGACAACAGCAGAGAGCAAAGACCAGAGTAATGAGTAATGGGCGGCAATCTTTGGGTCAGCGGGGATCACTCCGCCGCTGATAAGCTTCCGCTTATGTCTCATGCAAATGAACTGAGGTGATAACCAGGCTAGGTGAACGTACCTTCAGTGTGTGGGACAGCTTGAAGAAGTAGGACAGCACGGACATGTGGATGGTATCGGGCTTTTTCCAGGCGGACAGCGGTTCGATGCTCTGCCACTGCTGCTTCTTCACAAAGTAGAGGAGGGCATCGCCATCCCGGGCGCCACGATACTGCCTGAACTCGCCATCCTTCACGCTGGAGGGGATTGGAAAAAGTTATTCTATATATCCCGGACTAAAAGGGTTGTATATCTCACTGGTAGATGGTGGGCAGGGCGGTGACAAAGAAGCGTCCGCTGAGCGACGGTGAGGTGGTCACATCGATCTTGGCCACCTGCACCTTGACATCCTTGGCCACGCGGGCAAAACGCTCCCAGGTGGGAGCTAGATTCTTGCAAGCTGGGCACCACGGAGCAAAGCTATAAATAGGAAGGAAAACACAGGTTTTAAAACCAGCTGGCAGGCAATGAGTCATCGTGGAATGTCTGGCATTCCAGAAAAAGAAAAAAGAAGAAAAAAACTAGCTTGCCGGCTGAAGAAAGCCGGCGCACCACGCCCCTTTTGCATTACGTCAGGGGCTGCGGGGGTGCCATGTGGTTGGGGGGACCCGCAAGTGTGGCCTTTTGCACTCACAACTCAATCATCCACTCGCCCTGGAGCATCAGGTGCCAATTGTCCTCGTCCAATTCGATTAACTTGCCACCTGGCTGCAGTCCTGACTGCGCCGTCGCCGCATCCGCCAACTGCGCTGCCGCCGCCAGCAGAAGCAGCGCCGCACATGACGCGGCCACAAAGTGCGATTTGCAATGCATTTGAAGCTGTTCCCGATCGCCCACGAGTTTCCTGTGTCTTGTGACGTTCGGCTGCTGCTATTTGCTAAATTAAACTAAAGTCTCCGTCCTATTCAGTTCCAAAAAGTTACAAAAAATTGTGACGCCTGCTGGAAAATTGATAGAAACGCTGGTTCGATATCCGTCAGTGATGGCAAGTCACTTTTTTCCCGCCAAATCGACAGTAGGGAGGCTCTGATTGAAACTCATTGATAAAAACCTTTATATAAAAAAAATATTATTACTTCACACAAAAAATATAAAATATTAACCATTTATATGCTGTACAAAAGCATGGGGATACAAAATCCTCAGCAGTTTTAAGCATTTAACTAAATACCCATTATTTAATCGATGTTTTCTTTAACCTAACACAAAGTTTCCTAAAATTAGTAAAGGTATTTCAGCCTTGGGTGACGCTGCTTTTTTGTTGTAAATCAATCAAAAAACTAAATTTTTTAATATAACGGGTTTAGCTATTTTCCATTTCTTTGCCAGATCTAGCTATATCTAGCGTCTTCTTTGTTACCATCCCTAGTGTAATCGATATCACGCAATAGACGGACAACAACAAAGAAAATAAAAGTTTATGAAAACACAACAAAATTAGTCAAGTTGGAAATTTATCTTGTCTCCAAGATGGCCCATAACTACCTACAGCCGGTGCACAACCACTTTGATGACGTGGACAGGTTCGAGGACGTGGACGATGACCTTTTTCTGCAGAACAAGCGCACTGGAGCACCCAAGATTCCGCAGCAGAGGAGCACCAATCCCTTCGAAATGGAGGATGATGACGATGAGATAACTTCTTCGCCCTCTGTGGCCGCCCAGCGACTGGCCTACGCGGAAAAGCGAAGAGCCATTGAGCAGCGAACTCTGGACTCCACCAATAAGAGCTTGGGTAACCAAGGGGGTCAATTGCCAGCCAATTAAGGGGCGTTACTCATATATGTATCTTTTGCTACCCCTAGGCTTGCTCTACGAAACCCAGGAAGTGGGCAAGGCCACAGCCGCGGAGCTGGCCAAGCAGCGGGAGCAGCTGGAGAAGACCTCGCACCAGCTGGACGAGATCAACTCCACGCTGCGCTTCAGCCAGCGGCATCTGACTGGCCTGAAGAGCGTATTTGGCGGCCTGAAGAACTACCTCTCCGGCAACCGGGATCAGCCCTCCACCGCTGCTGGCTCGCCCACGGCCAGCCAGTCGTCGCAGGAGGCCAATAGCAACATTGATATGGGTGCCTGTGGCGGAGCCAGCCCCTCTGCTCCGCTTTCACCAGCCGAACGCTACGACAATCATCCAGTTAGCCAGCTGCGCGACGATCCTAGCAGCACCTATCATCCCCAGCGGCAGGCGGGCAATCCCTTCCAGGCCCAGATCGACGCCAATCTGGAGGAGATGTGCAGCAATTTGTCGGTGCTTAAGATGCTGGCCACTGATCTCGGTGGCGAAATCGAGTCGCAGAACGAACTGCTGGACAACATGAATTACAAAATCGAGGATGTCGACTTGAAGATCCACAAGCAGAACAAGGACATGAGCAAGCTGCTGAAGAAGTGAACGGGGAATCGTCGAATACCATTATATTGTTTACTGCATCCTTAGAATAGCCACCTTTATTTTACAAATCTTAGTCATACCAAGTCGCATGATGAGCACCACACAAGGCCATTACGATTGCATTCCTCATTTTGTTTCTTAGTTTTTTATTGTTACACACACCAAAAAGATTCTTTCGTTGGAGTGCTTGTAGTTGGAGAGCGATAAGTGTTCAGTTTTGAATAAACATTCATATAAAATGGAAGACAAGTCTCTTGGAAGGGGCAATCTTTTTTCTAATAACGGATACATACACAACTTCTTTGTTATGTTTACTGCTGATGTAGCATTACTAGAACATTTTGGAAAGAATTATTGACTCATGGCATTGTTTGTTTATTTTGTATAATGTATAGGGATGTGAAATATAATAAATGATAAAAAATTATAATTAATTTAATAGACATCTTAAATTGACCTCAGTTTAATATCTTTCAGATTTAAATGAAATTTGTGCAATACCAAAAAAAAGTATTATAAAACAAACACATTTTTTTAATAAAATATTTGTATTCAATAAATACTTTTTATTTTGTTTAAACATTTATAGTAAATACTAATCGTAAGATATTGATTCTGTAAAAATGACTAATGAACCTGATTAAAAATTTAAACTAAAAGATAGTTTCTAAAAATAAGTCATCTTAACAAATATTCACGGCGGGAAAAGAAGCAACAAAAAATAAAATAGTCAACCTTTGATTGCCTTTATAATTTAAACTCGATAGCTTTTAAATACAATTTTGTTATCGCTATCGAATCAGTCAATCGAAATCAAAATCAAGCCATCTCTAGAAAGCTCCATCTCTTTCCAGCAATACAAACCAAAGCGCAATTTCAGCAGAAAATTTTTCGACGGAAGAAATAAAATAATTTTATTAATTATGGAGGATAACTATTTTCCCTGCAGCCCCCAGCTACTCAAAGAGCCCCTATCCTTTGCGTAAGTCCCGAAAAATCCGTGGTGCAGTGAGCACGTGGCCTTAACCCTGACTTTGTACGTACTGCAGCGATCTCGTGGGAAATGGGGCTGAATTCGAGATGGACAAGTCACAGGAGGTAAATGCCTGCAAGGAATTTCTGGGTGACGACAGCGACAGCGACTACGAGGATGCCGAGGGTGTGGACAACGAGGCGTTGCTTTCCCCGTGGACGCAGTCCTTTGACGAGTTGCGTGCCCTGATGCACAGGATCGATGAGCACATCTACAAGCGGATCACCCGCGAGGGCCACGTGGACCGGGATCTGGTGCCGGAGAAGGCCAGGGTTTCGATCAGGTACAGTGGCTACTGGGAGGGCGAAGGCCACCCCTTCGATTCTTCCATGCTGCGGGGCACCAAGTTCGAGTTCGAGACTGGCCAGAAAATGGTGATCGAGGGACTGGAGGCCGCTGTGCGCACCATGCGCCCATACGAACAGGCCGAGTTCATCATCTCCTACAAGCTTCTCTTCCGGGAACTGGGCTGTCCGCCACGCATCAAGCCCATGGCGGACGGGCTCTTCAAGGTGGAGGTCATCGACTTCTCGCTCATAGGCGATGCGGAGGCCATCGATGCCATCCCTAAGGAGGATCGCGACAAGTTCTGCGTGGTCTATCCCAAGGCGCAGGACATGCATCTTTATGGCAAGGATTGTGTGAAGCGCGGGCGCTATCGCAATGCGGCGACTGCCTTCGAAAGGGCCATCAACTCCTTGAACTACTGCCGGATGGCCAATGACGAGCAGGAGCGCCGGCAAACCGAACTGCTGATTACCTTGACTGTAAGTATCCGTTCCATTATGTCACTCTAGAACAAGATAGATTGGTTATTTTCTTTCAGCAAAACCTGATGATTGTCTACAACAAGCTTAATAAGCCGCAGCGCGTCTGCATCATGATGAAGTCCCTGCGCCGGCTGACCGAGAACAATCCCTCCTGCAAGGCTCTCTTCCAGGAGGGTCGCGCCCTGGCCGCTTTGGGTGAATATGACCGGGCCCGCAATGTTTTTCTCCAGGCGCAGAGCAAGCAGCCGGAAAACACGCAGATCAGCGATGAGATCATAAGCATGAACAAGCGAATCAGCAAGTACAAGGAGGCCAGTCGAGATCTATGGTCTCGGGCCTTTTCGGTTAAGAATTCGAAATCAGCTGGCCCAAAAACTGCAGCTGATTTGGAGAAAGAAGCCAAGGAGCAGTGTTTTAAAGACGAAATCAAGGATATAATCAAGGAGTTCGAGAACTCTGGTGACAAGTCGATGGGATTCTCCCGTAAAATGTTTTCGGACGCACAGTTTGGAATCATTTGCAATCTGGTCAAGGATCACAATATGAATCTTACATTGTCTCCCATTCACGAGGACGTCTTGACTTTGTCCAAGGTGGAGGTCAAGTCTGACTAATCAGTAACCATTATTCTAAAAATTGCGTTTACTCACTCATTAAAAAAAATCAAAATGTTACCAACTATGTAAGTAGTTTAAAATAAGTTCTAGAAGAACTTTTACTTGTGCTATTACATTTAACTATGTATAAAGATATTTAAATCTTGTGCCATTACCAACTTGGGTATCTGCAGCTATTTGAGGAAAACCAGAATCTCAAACTTATATATTAATATAAATACAAAGTACTTAATATACATTTTTAATGGAGAATACGTTCTTCCAGGACTATATTTTTTGTTATTATCTACAAATAAATGTAAATCTTGTACGCCACCTAACTTAGTTATTATTTCCTTGACATTCCATTTTTCTTTTCGAATTCCTTGGTCAACTGACGATGCAGGCACTCCAAACATGCACAACCCATAACATGGTTGAATGTGGGCTCCAGATTATGCACATCCTGCATCTCAATGCTGTTTGAGTCGTAGGTGGTGAATGTTTCCGATTTTACGAACTTGCAGTACACACAGGTACAAACTAAAAAGCCTGAGGGTATGATAGAATTAGGAAGTTTGTTTTAAAGCAACGTAATTCTTACATATGGAGAGAATCCAAATGAAGAGCATTAGGAGCGGACAGAAATAATTGCTGACCATGGAAAGCTGATCATCGCTGATGCTTGTGTTTCCTGCAAGGATGCCCAGAAAATTTTGCAAAAAAGTTTCCGAGTTGTGTTGGGCAATTACAGTCCCTCTGAGAAAGAAAATTCTAACTATCACCGAAAATAAACCTGGTTGAAATGGCATTTTAAGTGCTCTTCAAACGTTTTCAGGTGGGACACTGAGTTGAGTGCCTAAAGCCAATGTATTATTCAAAGCTTTATTTTGTTTAGTTCGCGATTGATAAAAAAACAGTTGTGTGTCGCAAACTCACAAGTTGAGGTAAATGTGTTTTTACAAACACGTAAAAATCATTTATTATTAATCAATTAAACATACAATTTTTTTTGTAATTTAGTTTTATTAGAATTTAATACTTTAGTTTATACAGTATCCATCTTTAGCCACCGTGCACCATTTATAGTCATGGGATTGTTTTGCAGTAGATTTATCAACAAGATAGGCCAGTAAAACCCAAATAATACAAGTTTTGAGTAGCATTTTCGAAGTGAAATTTAAAGAGTTTAAATTAAGTTTTTGGTTTGCTTTAAATTATATAAATGTGTTTAGTACCCCATGTCAAATTAATTTAAAGCGTTTCCATACTTTAAATCAATTTCACAGTCTCTGCTTTTAAAAATGTATAAAAGGGTGAAACAAAAATTTCAGCAATTAAGTTAAGTTAAGCAATTAAATACAAGTTTAAAAAAAGTAGAATTAAATTAAAATAAAAGGCAAAAACACTTGAATTTGTATAAATTATATTTTATTAGCTTTTCTAGTATTCTAAATGTAGCACATTTTTTAATAGAAGATAAAAGACCAAAAAAAAAAAAACAAAAATAGATTTATGAAAAATTATTAACTACACGTGGGATTCGAACCCGCATAGCAATGCCTCGTAGTCTCACGTCTTACGCCCTACACCACGGAACTAGCCGGCCGCCGCTAAATATATCTCAACTTAGGTTCGGTCGAGCGCGTTCTATTGTGTGGTTGCTGGAGGTGTAGTGTAGACAAGAGCTCAACGAGTACGTCCGTGGCGTACTGCGTTGAGATTCGCGTCTCTTGTACGAGTGAGAGTTGAAAAACTCTTACATGTAGAAAATAAATGCCCCTCTAATCTTTGGCCGGAATTGATGATCTGTAGTTAATTTCGTAAATGCAAGAGGAGAAGGTAGAGTAAGGAATGGTGGGGATTAGCCTTCGGTGCTCGAATCGGTTTTAAATCCGCGAGATAACTATCATCCTTGTTTCCCTCCACATTTCTTTTTTGGAAAAACAATCAACAAAAACTTTTTATTTTTTTTTGTTAAAACCCATAAATATTTATTCATGAATATTGTTTTTCTTCGCTTAATGTTACATTTTTAACATAATTATTTATGATTAATCGTTTAGTTATTGGCATCTGTGGAATATGTGTAATATTTGCTTACACATTTAATTTGATATAACATATACTTTTGATTACCAGAACAGCAAAAATGTTATACAACTATTAAGTAAGATATTTTTATAGTTAGCCCCCGGCTTGCGCTTTTCAATTTGGTTTCTTTAAAGGAAAGGAGTTGAGACTTTTTGATTTTGCATTTCTCCAATAAATTGCTGTGTAGTCGTTCAATTCCTTCTGAAAGTAACTTTTTTGATTACATAACCCTGCAAATAACTTTTGATTTATTGAAATGAAGTAACAGAAATTTAACAAAGGATTTGTGGTAACGGATTAGAAATTTACTAAACGTGCTCTTTGCTTTTATTTAGTTGTTAGTTCAGTTATCTACGCTTAAATGTTTATTCTCTTAAAATGCATACATCGAATAGATTTTCTGCTTAAATACATTTGACTTGTTTTATATATCTTATCGTTTCTTATTGTTGATCATGCATATTATAAATGTTTAGATTGAGCTGGTGGGTTTTCCGGTTGATGGGTTTTAATTCAAGAATATTTTGGTTGTCGGTTTACTGGGATATGAATTGCAATTGATTAATAACTTGCCTAGCGTTTTCGAGTTTGATTTAAACCTTTTGTCTATTCCGTTGGCGTCCCAAAATTTCATATAAAATTTGAAGCTCCTCTGTTCAATGTTTAAAGTAAACTCTTCTTACTTCACTATTTTATACGCCAATTGAGTAACATGTTATATTTTGTCGGAATTGACAGCTTAAGTTTTGAC